AGCCTACTGGGGATGGGGTATGTATATTCCCTTTTGCAAAGTCTACTCTGGAGAGAAAGAAAATTAGCCTGTTTCCTGGGCCTTTCCTGAAATTTATGTTACTCGCCAGGAAAGAATTTTTAGTGACAGGACCATGAACTAGTAGGGGATGGACTCACTATGGCAGGCAACTTACAAAAACAGCCATTTGTTGGCTATAGTTGCTCCCATTGTGGGTTGGACAATACAAAACAAACCTTTCAGCTCTGTGACTGGCCTTCACCTCTCTAGTTCCCTTCCAGCAATGCATATTTAGGGACGGAGAAGGAAGGTAGGCTGCAAAGGCTGAACTAGTTATGGAGCTTTTGGTACAGTGCGTGCCAACTGCCTGGGGGTATGGTCCATCGTGCAGGTTGTTGTGTACTATGTCCAGTCTAGCTGGTGTGCAGGATTCCTAGGCTTGGCACGGGTGTAAAGCAGATCCTGGTCTTCTCTGTGCTTTACAGTGGATGTCAGCAGGGAAGACGGAGGCCTCCATTTACCAGCAGGCTGAGGACGGCAAGACGGAGTTGTCCCTCATGCACTTTGCCATCACCAACCCCAAGTGGCAGCCACCCCGTGAGAGCACGGCCTTCATCGGCTTCCTGAAGGAACGGGTGCAGCGGGACAGCAGCATGGCACTGGCCCAGCAGGCTGTGCTCCCTGAAAATGCCCTCTTCAGTTCCATCCAGTCCCTGCAGTCAGAGTCAGAGGTGCGCAGGATGGGGAAGAATGTGCTGTGGTTCCGGAGTGTTTGCTGGGTGCTGGCAAAGTGTGATAATCCGGCCTTCAGGACAGACTTTGCCCTTACCTGGGCTGTGTCCAGGGGTGCAAATATGATGAATCAGCACTCACTGGGACTAATTCTGTTTTTTTAGAGAAGGGCAGCAAGGGTTTCTTGCCTCCTCTGAAGTGGGAATGGGACTAAAGAGAGCTGGGGTCTCGGTGGGGATCAGGCCTCCAAGTCTGCGCAGGACAGTGATTCTCTCTCCCTTTTGTCTCTGCAGCCTCACAGCCTGATTGCCAATGTGATAGCGGGCTCCTCAGTGCTGGGATTCCACATGGGTCGTGATGGACAGGCCTCTCGTCATCTGTCTGAAGTGGCTTCAGCCCTGCGTTCCTTCTCCCCACTCCAGTCTGCCCAGCAGACCTCTGGTGGCTTTCAGACAGCAGGAAGAGATGGAGAGGGAACCCAGCCTCGTGGTTCCAGTGCCATGACAGCCTCTGGGTAAGGCAGCCTTCACTGCCTGACCCTAGAGCAGAAAGAGGCTTGGTGGTATTTGTGGCCACATAAACATCACTCTTGTTTCCCATGGCAGTGCTGATGCGAGGACTGTGAGCTCAGGGAGCAGCGCCTGGGAGGGTCAGCTGCAGAGCATGATCCTGTCAGAGTATGCCTCCACTGAGATGAGTCTTCACGCACTCTACATGCATGAGGTGAGTTGAACTAACCAGAGGGGATATGGGCCCAGCGCAGACAGGACTGCGGTGCCCTGCTTTTGTTAGCTTGGATTGACTGGAAGTGCCTTGCTGGGGAGAGGATGCACTGGGGGTGCAGTGGGGCATCTGTAGCTGACCCACCTGTGTCTTGGCTCTGCAGTTGCACAAGCAGCATGCCCAGCTGGAGCCTGAGAGGCACACCTGGCACCGGCGAGAGAGTGATGAGAGTGGCGAGAGCACCCATGAGGAGCTGGATGGTCAGCGAGGTGCCCCTGTCCCCCTGCCTCGCTCTGCCAGCTACCCCTTCTCGTCACGGCAGCCTGCTGAGGAGACTGCCACGCTGCAGACGGGCTTCCAGCGACGGTATGGTGGCATCACAGGTATGGGAGCCAGGGCAGAGGTCGGAGCCTTCTGGTCACAGTGCTGTAACCCATGTCCCATAATAACGGCACAAACAACGTGCTTATCTCTGAAGACTGACAGCCCCCCAGGTAGCTAATCCTCCTCGCCTCTCCTGCAGACCCAGGCACAGTGCACAGAGCCCCATCACACTTCTCCCGCCTCCCACTGGGAGGCTGGGCTGAGGACGGGCAGTCAGCAAGACACCCAGAGCCTGTGCCAGAGGAGAGCTCAGAGGATGAGCTTCCACCACAGATCCACAAGGTAGGGGAGGAGGCTGTGGCCGACAGGGGCAACGCGTGCTCTGGATGCCAGGCTGCGGGCCAGCTGCCAGCACCCCTTAGGTGTCACATTCCCTCTCTGTCTTGCAGGTATAGCCTTGCATACTGGGGATCTCGTGGGGGTTGCAGACTGGGAGCCGCCTGGGCAGCAGGATGCAGTGTCAGCCCGATTCCTCTCCTATCCCAAGGGGATAGGGTGGCCATGGGCTCCATTTTGTTGCCATCAATTGCTGATGAGACAAAACTGCCGGGCCAGCAGCTGTCCAGCCGTGTGTCAAGTCAACGCCACTCTGACTGTTGTGGGGTGAATGCGTGTGTGAGTACATACATGTGTCTGTGTTCACATCTGTGTCGTCCGTGTCGGAGGATCGCTGCAGAGCCGGTGACAGCTGACGGGACTGGCAGCGGGGAGCTGTGGATGGGCTCGGAGGCTGCAGTGGCAGCTGCTGTTTGAAGGGATGTGACAAGGCATGAGCTCCAGATGTCCGCCCAAGAGCTGGGACCTGCCTCCAAAATGAAAGAAGGGAGCTGGTGTCCTCCGGGGATGGCTGACAGCAGCGGGAGCTGTCGGAGCTGCCTTGCTCAGCCTGTAGCAGTGCTGGAACCATACCTGCAGCCCTGGGGAAGTGCCGTGCGCCGCATTCCACCTCACAGGACCAATGTTGCACACCTCAGTCTGGAACGGAACAGCAGTGGGGCAGTCAGCCACCCCTCTCTGTGCATATGCATTTACTGCCCCGGCATCCTGCAGCAGGATGGTCCTCAGCCGCTACTGTGTGCTTTGAGTTGGGAACAGCTCTGCTGCAGCTCCTCCCCAGCTCCTGTGACATCTGCCCTGTCCCAGGCATGCGGGAAGTGGTCCATGGAGTGGCACACCTGGGTCTCTGTCCCTCCCCGCTGGCAGCCTCCATGCTCGCCCTCTGGCTTGGACTAGAGCAGCACTTCCTGCCCTGCACGGTGCTCAGGGGTTATGAGCTGCTCCCAGGCCCTCTTGCAGTGCCAAAGAGCTGGTGCAGCCTGATGTCCCCTGGGAGTGCACACAGCCTGCTTGGAGCCCACAGTGAAGGTCTTGTGCTCTGTGTGCTGATTCCCTTCCCCCAGGCATCATAAAGGCCTTTTTCCTATGCCCAGTCCGCGATGCATCAGGCCTGTTCTTTCATATCAGCCCTTTACTCCTGCCTTAACAATGGCTTCAGTGTGTCCTGCATCTCACCCAGGGGCTCCTGGCTCCTTTCCTTCCTTCCTGAAGCAATCTTTTTGCAAGGATTGCTGTGGAGACCATAAGCTGAGCAGCTGCCCCATGTCATGGGGGGGGAGGGGGAGGGAGCCAGGAGGGAAAGAAGGGGTATCTTGAACCCAGAAGTGAGAGGCAAGCCCCAGCCCAACCCTAGCATGATGGAAGAGGGAATCAGGATCCTGGCTTTGCAGCATGGTCTTGGCCAGCCCTTCCTAGGATTGTTCTGTTTTCCCTCACCTCTCTTCCAGTGGCAGCTTGTGAGGACCTGCATCTCAGCTACCCTTGCCCAGCTTTGTTCCACCCCCCTTGATCCTGTTGCCTGGAAGAGGGACTCCTTGCTTTTTCTATGCCCTGACCTGTCCTCCCCTTCCTGGAACACAGGTGACCTTTCTCTCCCTGCCAGGCTATTGCCCCATGCCCTTTGAGCCTGGGCCAGGCTCACTGAGCCAGCTGCTGCTACACTGCACTGCAGCAGCAGGGATAGGAGTGAGGAGGTGGCAAGCAGGACTGGCTCTGCACCTCACACCTGTGGGCTGCCCAGCTGGGCATAACTGCAGCCCTTCTAGCAGCCTTTGTTTCCGTGCCTCCATGGGAACTCCGAGCAACGTTGATGTCCTTCCCCAAGCTGGGGAGCAAATAGGGGCAGACCCATAGGCCCAACCTTGTGCCACCTGGGCTCCCTCCAGGCACAGAGTGCAAGTTCCCTGTCCACGGGCAGTGCTTGGAGCCTGCAGCACGCGGTGAGGGGATTTCGGAGGCTGCACTCTGGAGGAAAGGAGAGCCCTTTCCCTGGGCTAGTGAGAAAGAGAGGCTGGGCAGGAGTCCTCGCCGCATGTTGTACTTGTGTCGTCGGTGTCCCCTGTGCATGATGAGCCGCAATTCTTCATCTCCTTCCTGGGTGTGTGGGCATGGGGCGCCCAGGGAGGGTCGTGCTGCAGCCCTGTGCCCTCACTGTACAGCTGTCTTGCCATCCAATAAAGATGGGATGTGTTACCCGCCTCCCGTCCGAATGTCACTGCAGCGCGGGGGGCAGCAGCGGGGCAGCGAGGGTGCGGGGAGCACCGGTGCCTCCGACATGAGAGTGGGAGGCGGCGAGGCGCCGAGCCGGCCGCGTTTATGGCTCCATTCCGTCGCCGGGTGCTCCTGGTGCCACGCGGGGTGGGGCAGAGCCACTGTGCCGCAGCAGCGAGGCCGCCTCGAAGTTCCTCGGATCCGTGCGGCTGAAGCAGGAGCAGATGAGCGCCCGTCGGGCCGGGGGCCAAAGGGAGCTATAAATACCGGCGGCGCTCCGTCCTGCCTGACCTCTACAGGGCGGCCGGGTTATCGCCGTGCTGCAGTCGCCCGGCTGCTCGCCGAGATAAGCTGCGCTGGGTCCGCTCCCCTTCGGCATCGCCCCACCTGGGGGCACCTCCGGGCCGGCAGCCGCGGGGCCGGGAGCTGCGCGGCCGGGGGGAGCTGCGCCGCCGGAGGACGGAGGGAGGGCCGGGCCGCGGGGCGGGGAGCGGGGCGGGGAGCGGCGCGGGGCGGTGCCACGGCCTGCGGGCGGCCCGGGGAGCGGTGCGCGGAGCGGCGCGGGGCAGGTGAGCGGGCGAGGGGCTCGGGGAGCGGCGGGCGGCGGTCACGGGAACGGGAACGCCGGCGCGGTCGGGACCGCGATGTGTTCAGGAAGAGGCCCCCGCACGTCGCTCCGCCAGTGCCGGCCCGGCGTGTCTCTGCGCTGCCCTGCCCTGCCCTGAGCCTTGCGTTTCCCCGTGTATTGCCGGCGCTACCCGGTGTGTTTCCTCGTGCGTTGCTCCATGCTTTATTCTGCGTTTTCCCCACGCGTTGCCCTGTATTGCCCCTTGTTTTTCCCCACGCAGTGTTCTGCCATTCCCCACGTGTCACCCCTACGTTCCCCGTCGCCCTCCCTCACACTCCCCGGGAGCATCCCCTTCCCAGAACAGTGCCTCTGTATCCCTGCAGCGGTGGCAGCGTTGAGCACTCGCTGACCCCACGTCCAAGTGCACGGGCTGGCCCGCTGCAGCCTCCGCACTCCCCACGCCCCCTAAAGCGATACCAGACCGCAGAGCTGACCCCAGCTGCTGCTCATGCCCTACTGCACACAGGGGTCTGAGTGTGCCCCACACGGCCATGTCCTGCGGTGTTCACCCCCACCACTGCCCTCTGCCTGGCCATGCTGTCCAGCCCCGCATCCCCCCTAGCAGCCCTCTGAGACCCCATCCTCTTCTCTCTGCAGCTGCAGACCAGCCAGGATGGCATTGCTGAGGGGATACTGCGAGGCCAACAGCTCCATGGCACAGGCCTGGGTGCAGCAGGGCTTCCAGCCCTGTTTCTTCTTCACGCTGGTGCCAGCCGTGCTGCTGAGTGTCTGCCTGCTGCTGGGTGCCCTGCAGTATGCCTGCTACGTCCGTTTTGGCCGTGCCATGGAGCCCAAATACATCCCTCGCTCGCATCTTTACCACACCCAGGTCCTGCTGTCACTGCTGCTGGCCCTGCTGCCCCTCGGTGGGCTTCTCTGGCAGCTGGCCGGCCCAGGGAGGCTCTATGGGTACATGGTGCTGTATACCTGCCTCTGGGCTGCTGCCTGGGGCTGCGCCATTGCCCTCCTGCAGCTGGAGCACACACGGGTGCTGGCACATGACCGCACACGGGGCCATGGCACTGTCCTCCTCCTCTTCTGGGCGCTGGCCTTTGCTGCTGAGAACCTGACGCTGGTGTGCTGGAGGAGCCCATTGTGGTGGTGGGCGCTGCAGGACACCGACCAGAAGGTTAGTGGGCTGTGGGGGTGGTGAATTTTGGTGCTGACCTCCTCCTGGCACCCAGCATGTGCAGGTTGCACTGCGTGCCCATCACAGCTGAGCTGTGCTAGGATAACTGGTGGTGCTGACCCCCTCTCCCTGTCCAGGTGCAGTTCAGCCTCTGGCTGCTGCGCTATGTCTGCACCTTCACACTCTTCATCCTGGGCATGAAGGCGCCTGGGCTGCCCCACAAACCCTACATGCTGCTGGTCAACGAGGAGGAGCGGGATGTGGAGAACAGCCAGGTGAGTCCCGGGGCTGTCTGGGGAGGGGTGTACCTGGGGATGAGTTTCTCCAGGAGGTGGGTTCCCGGGGGTGACTGCTTGCCCTGCATTCCCCCAGCCACTGCTGCAGGATGCAGGCAGGACCAGCTCTACCTGGAAGGATTTCCGGAGGAAGTTGCGCCTGCTGGTGCCGTACATGTGGCCGAAGGGCAACCGCCTGCTGCAGGGGCTGGTGCTGTTCTGCATGGCGCTCATGGGGCTGGAGCGAGCTATCAACGTCTTTGTCCCCATCTACTACAAGAATATTGGTGAGGGGCCTGGGGCTGGTCAGGGGATGCTGTGCTGAAGGACCACAGCCCACTGCTTCACCATGTGTCCAGTGACCCCAGTGATGTGGGAGAGCACAGGAACCTGGCGGCAAGAGGGTGCTGGGGCAGTGCCGGGTACAGAGGCTGGTCCTTAGAGGGCACCCAGCGGTGCTCTCTGCCCCAAACAATGCCATTCTCTTCTCAGTGAACGAGCTGACTGAGGGTGCTCCCTGGCACACCCTGGCCTGGACCGTTTGCATCTATGTGGGGCTGAAGCTCCTGCAGGGCGGAGGTGCTGGTAAGGATCACAGGGCATGTAGAGCCTCCTGCAGCATCCCTCGGCTGGGATATTAAGGGAGGACCCGGTCCCTGCTGACCATCCTGTGGCACTCCGCAGGCTCCACGGGCTTCATCAGCAACCTGCGCACCTTCCTGTGGGTGTGGGTGCAACAGTTCACCAACCGGCAGGTGCAGGTGCAGCTCTTTGCCCACCTGCACAGCCTGTCTCTGCGCTGGCACCTGGGCCGCCGCACCGGTGAGGTGCTGCGCAGCGTGGACCGGGGCACCAGCAGCATCAACAGCCTGCTCAGGTCAGGGCACGTCTGCAGAGGGTCACTGTGCTCACCCCGGTGGGTTGACCTAGTGCCACGTCCCCATCCTTCCTTCCAGTTACATCGTCTTCAGCATCTTCCCCACCATCGCGGACATCATCATCGGCATCGTGTACTTCACCTCCGTGTTCAGCGCGTGGTTTGGACTCATCATCTTTGTGTGCATGAGCCTCTACTTGAGTGAGTGAGGTCCTTGGGGTCCTGCAGGGCTGCCAGCATCCAATGACACACTGCTCCTCCTCAGCGCTCACCATCTTCATCACTGAGTGGAGGACCAAGTACCGGCGGGACATGAACACGCGAGACAACGAGGCCAAGTCCCGTGCTGTGGATTCGCTGCTCAACTTTGAGACAGTAATGATGGAGGGGTAGGGCTGGGTGCTGTGGGAGCAAGGTGGATGCTGAGCCTGGCTCCGTGTCCCACAGGTGAAGTACTACAATGCAGAGAGCTACGAGGTGAACCGCTTCAACGATGCCATTGTCAAGTACCAGGTATGGGGGCTCAGTGCCTTCCTGGGGGAAGGAGCCAGGTAAGCACCAGTGGGGTGTATGGGGATGGAGGTGTCATGGAGGACCTCTCCCCTCTCAGCTTTCCGAGTGGAAGGTCAGCGCCTCGCTGGGTCTTCTCAACCAGACCCAGAACCTGGTCATCGGGCTGGGGCTTCTGGCGGGGTCTCTGCTCTGTGCCTTCTTTGTCACTGAGGGGAAGCTGCAGGTAAGGCTGTGCCAGCTGGGCAGCCCCTGCCTGGGGACAGCCCCAGTGCTGAATGTGACAGACAAGTGTCCCCCGGCCCTTCTAGGTGGGGGATTTTGTCCTTTTTGGCACCTACATCATCCAGCTCTACACACCGCTCAACTGGTTTGGCACCTACTACAGGTAACATGCAGCTGTGGGGTGCCCTGTGTATGTGGGGCAGGGTGTGCTCCCCAAACCCTTCTTCTGGTCTCTTTCCCCTTCCAGGATGATCCAGAACTCCTTTGTGGACATGGAGAACATGTTTGAGCTCTTCCATGAGGAGCAAGAGGTGGGTGCTCTCCTCCTGACCCCACTGCCTGGCATGGCCTGCCACTGAGGCCACATCTCCATCCATCAGGTGAAGGATGCAGTGAATGCCGGGGAGCTGCACTTGGAGGCTGGGCGCATCGAGTTTGAGAATGTGCACTTCAGTTATATTGATGGGTATGGGATGGCAGAAGGGGAAGGGCCTGGCTATGGGGGTTGGTACCAGGATGTGGGGCAGGGGAAATGGCCCCAAACCCTTCTCCATCTCTGTCATCTCCATCTCCACCTCCATCTCGCTCCCTAGGAAGGAAATCCTGCAGGACATCTCCTTCTCTGTGATGCCTGGGCAGACCCTGGCCCTGGTGAGAGCTGTGGGATGGAATGGGGGCAGAGGGGCTGGCAAGGATGGGCTGTGACAATCTTCTTTGTCCAGCGCAGTTTGTCCTTGCCCAGCAGCCAGGGGCACTTTGGCATCTCCAAATAAATCCTTTTACCTTTGGTGCAGGTTGGGCCTTCGGGCTCGGGTAAGAGCACCATTATCCGTCTGCTCTTCCGCTTCTACGACGTGCGGGGTGGCTGCATCCGCATCGACAGGCAGGACATCTCCCAGGTATGGGCACTGCGGGACTGGGAGGGCACAGGGGGGGTGGGGAATGGCTGAGCCTCACCCCCCTGAACCCCCACCCACCAGGTGAAGCAGGCATCATTGCGTGCCCACATCGGGGTGGTGCCCCAGGACACTGTGCTCTTCAATGACACCATCGCCAACAACATCCGCTACGGGCGGGTGCAGGCCACTGACGAGGAGGTGCAGGAGGCGGCGCGGGCCGCCGACATCCATGACCGCATCCTCTCCTTCCCTGATGGTGAGACCCTGCAGCCCCTTCCTGGCTCCGTGGCAGCCCACTGGGAGCCACGAGGTGACATCCTGCCTGGAGACACCCATGCAACCCCATGCCCTTGCCATCTCCAGAGCAGAATGAGCCCCTGGGCAGGGGAAGTCCCACGCAGCGCAGCCCCGGCCCCCATCCCTGTCCTGGATGGGACCGGCACAGCGTGTGCCTGTCCTTGTGCCTGCAGGGTACAGCACCCAGGTGGGGGAGCGGGGGCTGAAGCTGAGCGGGGGGGAGAAGCAGCGTGTGGCCATTGCCCGCACCATCCTGAAGGGCCCCCGCATCATTCTTCTGGACGAGGTAATGGCACTAACCCCCCCTAGCAGCATCCCCCTCCCACATCTGCTCGCTGCCCATGTCCTTCTCTCGCAGGCCACCTCTGCGCTGGACACGGAGACTGAGAGGAACATCCAGGCCTCTTTGGCCAAGGTCTGCGCCCAGCGCACCAGCATCGTTGTGGCACACAGGTAGGGATGGACGGGGCTGGTCCAGCTCCCACAACCCTCCTGCAAGGGTTGGCAAGAGAGGGGCAAGCCCTGCAGCCATGCTGCAGCATCCTCTGATGCAGTGTCAAGAGCTGGCTGCTATCTGCAGGGACTCTCCTTGCACCCAGCACACTCCTCATGCTGTGCAAACCCCTTTTTGCATGCAGACTCTCTACCATTGTGGGTGCAGACCAGATTCTGGTGCTCAAAGATGGGCGCATCGCTGAACGCGGGAGGTGAGTAGAGGGGCTTGGTGCCGCCCATCCATGGAGTCTTCCAGGGCAGCCCACAGCCCCCTCTGCCCCCACAGGCATGAGGAGCTGCTGCAGAAGGGAGGTATCTATGCCAGCATGTGGCTGCAGCAGCAAGTGGGGGAAGAGGGCGAGAGCAAGGAGCAGCACACTGAGAAGCCCCCCAGCAGCAAGAAGGAGCCATGAGTGCAGCCGGGTGTGACCAAGGGATGGGGCACCCATGGTTGGTGCTGAGACCCCACTGCTGGCTGCGGCTACCTGTGTGTGTTGGGAGCTGCAGGGCCCAGCCTGGACACTCCGTTTGTACCTGTTTGTTCTGCTGTGGAATAGCTTCTTAAACCAGGTCCTTCTCAGCTCTGTGCTGTGTGCTCTGGACAGGGGGTGCGCCTGTGGGATGGCCCTGGGGAGGGAGCTGTGGGCCTCAGGGACCCCAGCAGAAGGGTACAGCTCCAATACACCATTCCTCAAAGCCGCCATGTACCTTGGCCATGCCTTTATTTTCTCCCAAGCAGCACTTTGACACAAAAGCACTCCCTCACCCCAACCTGAGCGCACCACCATCCCCTGGTGGGCACTGCCCGCAGATGCCACTTTGGGCTCCTCCTGAGGAGATGGCCCAACCTGCAGTCGCTGTGCTCAGCTTGTGCTCAGTCACCCTGCAGCTCCCACCTCTCCAGGAGCATGCTGCACTGCCTGCATGTGGGATGAGACGTTGCCGTGCGCTCTGTGGATTGCTTAGAGCCCTGGGGAGATCAGGTGGCTCCTGGTGGCACTCAGGCCAGGACCCCACAGCATCCACATGCGGTGCCACGGCTGCTCCTTGTGCCACGAGCAGGATATCACGTCTACTGGCACAGCCCCTACGTGCCTATGACATGCTGCAGTTGGATGGCTTTGAGCCTTGTCCCTGGCAGGGGAGAGAGCATGCAGTGAGCAAGGTAAGGTGACATCTTCCTCAGCCCTGCGTGGTCCCTGGGAAGCAGAAATGGGGGAGTAGAAATGGGGGTAGCCAGACTCAGCCTGCTTACCTGCTTCTGCAGCTGCTGGTACTCAGCCTCGCTCGCTGACAGTGCCTGCGCCAGTGCCAGGTCCTCCTCCTCCTGTGTGCTGCAGGGACAGTGGCGCACTGTGTGCCTGGCACCCCATGTGCCCTCCCCCCTATGTCCCTGAGGCAGCAGAGGGCAGGGGGGCTGCCTGCATGCCCGCACTCCATTTAGCAGCACCGAGCAGTGTGCCCATGAGCTGCTGGCTGCCACCTGCAGATATGGCTGTGCCTGTCAGTGCCAAGCAGTCAGGAAGCAGCATGTCTCCCCTGCACTGCCTGGCACTGTCCCCAACCAGAAGTGGGCTCAGCTGCAGCTTTGGGCTCTTCCCTTTTCCCCAGCACCTTGCAGAGCAGGGCCACCATGTGCAGCCCCGTGCTGTGGGTAGCATCACCCCAGGCCACACAAGCCAGGCGTGCACGAGGGTGGCACCATGTGCCCCAGTTGTACCTGGGTGGCTGCGCCGAGCCATGTGCCGACTCTGCCAGGGACATCTCCAGTGCCCGCTGCAGCGCCTCCTCCTCACTCTGCAACAAAGCCCCTCGTCAGCAGCCATGGCTGCCCCTGCCCAGGCTGGGAGCTAAGGCAGCAAGAGGCAGCCCCTGTCCTCCTCCATCCTCAGCTCAGCCCCTCTGGTGCTGACAGCCCCCAAAGCACAGGGCCCCCCACACTCACCAGCCCGTTCTGCAGTATGGCAGCTGGTGGGGAGGTGCTGCGGACCTGGGGCACAGCTGCTCCTACACCTCTACAGACAACAGAGAGAAGCTGGGTGATGCCACAGAGCTGTTGCCCATCAGGTATGAGCAGCAGGGCTGGCACCTACCTGGCAGGGGGAAGATAGGGGGGGGTCCCTGCGGGCCGGGCAGTGCTACTCGATGTGTTGCTGGCTTGTGGGGGGGACGCCTGGGCCCTGGCAAGCGCAGCATGCCTGGGGAAGGGAGTGTGTGCTGGGGGTGAGCAGGTGGCATCCCATGCACAGGGCCAGGGCAGTGGGAGCTCCATTCTGATGCTCACCCCGCTTTAGAGAGAGGCCTCCCAGCCCCAGTGCAGTCGTGGTCCAGCGGGTGCCGATGCTTCAGGCAGTAGTTCTTGTGGCACTGCTCGCAGATCACCTTCATCATCTCCTTCTGCTTGCAGCCGGGCTTCAAGCACTTGTTGGTGAAGATCTACAAGCGGTGGTGGCACTGAGCGGGAACCCGCATGCCCCGGCAGAGCCTTCCCCAACCCCCTCCCCAGAACTCGGATCTCCCAGCCGCGGGTCCCGGGGTTCCCACCTTGCGCTGGCGCTGTGCAGGGTCGGATCTGCAGTCGCGATCGATGTGCTCTCCCACCACCACGTCGGGCATCTCGCCCCGCCGCACGGGCACCGGCGTGTTGCACAGCGGGCACACGGGCACCTGCACGTCCTGCGGGCACGGGAGAGCGGCAGGAGCGCCGGGCTTCGGGATGCGGGACTTCGGGATGCAGGGCTTCGGGATGCGGGGCTTCGGGGGGGGGGAGCTCACCTTCTTGTAGGCGGAGGTGCACTCGTGCTGGGCGTACGCGACGTGGTCGGTGCAGAAGATCCGCTCGCAGGCGTCGCACTTGAGGGGCAGGAAATCTGCGGGACGCAAGGTCGGCGCTCAGCCCCGCACCTCCCGCACGGCCCTCACCCCGCCGCGCCCCGGCCGGCGCTCACGGCCGCGGCTCCGCCCCGCGCTACAACCGAGCCCCGCGGCCCTCGGCCCTCACCCAGGCGCTGGCAGGCGGCCCACGAGCAGTGAGCCCCCAGGTCCGGGAACTCCATGGCGGCCCGTCTCCCGGCCGCCCGCGCCGCGCCCGTTTCCGTCCCGGCGTCACGCGGGGCGGGGACGCGGCCGGCACCTCCCCCGCGGCGGTCACGGGGCGGCCCGCGGAGCCGACGGCGCCCGGAGGACGACGTCTCTTTTCCGCCTTCTCTTCTCCCGTTCTTCTTCGCCCCGCCGCCGGCGATGCGCCGGGCTCCCCGCATTCCTCCCGCTCCGGATCCCCCATCCGGTCCGCTCCGCCCGCTGAGGGCGAGCTGGCGGAGCCCCGCGCGGCCCAAACCCAGAGGCAGCCCCCCACATTCACGGCTGCGAACTCGGAGAGCCGGGCGGGGTGGGACGCTACGTCCTGCCCGGCCGTGCTGCGTGCTGATCTCGGATCTTCTCGTGCTAAGTGACGTGTCCCCCCCACACCCGTCACCTTCCCCTGTCCCAGCAGTGAGGGACGGACTCCTGCCTCCCTCCCCAGCCGTTGAGCGCATACGAAGCGCTGACCCGCCGCTGTGTAACAGAGCTCCCAGCTCTCTTCGAGGTGCTTCGAAGTCTTCCGATGCCCCGCCGCCATTCCCAATAGGGGCAGAGCCCGAGGGCTGTTCGGCCCCCTGGCAGCCTGCAATTCAAGGGACGTGCGCCACGGCCCCGGCAGGAAGACACGCAGAACAGGGCCAGGAGTGAAATTCATTGATTGCAAAAACTCCACAGCCACTCAGTAGCACAACTCCAACCAGACAGGGAAAAACGGGTATCGCCCAATACCGTGTTCCAGCAGCCACGTGAAAGATGCCGACGGGTTGCAGAAAGGGGCTCTTTGTTGCTCAGGACCCATCTGCTCGTGTCCCCTCACTCCCTCCCTCCCCCTCAAGACCCCCAGCCTACCCCCTGCCCCCAGAGCTGTGTCTGACTGCGCTCCCCTCCCCATCCCGCCCCCAAACGAGACCGATGAAAGTTAAAATTATTTACACTTTTAGCCATTTAAAAACCCAATAAAATAAGATTGCATATGTCCTACTGGGGATTTGGGTATTAGCAGCAGCTACAGCTAGCTCGGTACTCGGCGTGCAAAACGAAAGACAAACAGAAGACAGACCAAAATACCGCACCATTACTAGGAAGCGTTTGCAGGGGTTGGTGCTCCATTGTGGCGTAAGGCTTCCAGGAGCCGGCTCCTCCCCAGCGGCGGGGCAGGGCCGTCCCCCGCTCAGCCAGCAGAGGCCGGGCTCTAGAAGGATGGAAAGGATTTGTTATTCCAAACACAGCACATTAACACTGACGCGTTTCCATCCCAGTCAACAGACATCTAAAACCCGCTGCGCGTTCGCCACGTGAGTTCTTCCTTCTTTCCAGTGACGACGGAGATCGAAGGGGTGCACGAAGAAGACCTAAGACATAGATGCTGCTGTCATCGCTGCCTCCTCCTCATCTCCTTGCTTTGGCAGCTCAGCAAGTGCGGGAGAGGGGGAAGGCGGAGCCGGAGTGGCAGGAGACTCTTGCCCTTCCTGCTCCTCCCCAAGGCCCAGCTCTACATCCATTTGCTCCAGCTCCCTCTGATCCAGTAGCTCAAAGTCATCGGCTTCCTCCTCGTCCTCTGGTGAAGCTGCTGCCTCTGCCTCCACCACTTCGCTCCCTGACAGCTGTGCTTGGAAGCTCAGTTTCTCTTCGGGCTCGGTGGGGAGGAACTCAGAGAGGGAGGGTCCCTCGCTGGCCTCTGAGGACCGCAGAAGGGCGGAGAGGGTGTTCTGCACCGCTGTGGTAATGGCAGTGGTGACGATCTCTTCGCTCAGCGTGTCGATGCAGATGCCCATGCCCGGTGCAGGGACAGCCTCTGGCTCCATGCTGCCTCCTGCCACCTGCCCACTCCCGTTGAAGTGCGTATTTACAAAATGGAGAGGAGACGCTAAGCGAAGGATGGAGAGGTCAGAGTCCGCAGCCTCCTTCTCTGCTGAGTCCAGCTCACGGGCAGCATGGGCTAGCTCAGGACCCAGAGGCACACCAAATGCATCTTCATCACTCTGTGGTCCCAGATCTCTGGAATGATATTCTTCCACGGAGGGAAACTCTGCCAGGTCTTTGGAAAATGACTCCTCCGGCTCACTGTGCAGGCTCTGCTGATCCAGGTCTGGAAGGCACCAGCATTAACATCAACATTAAGGCACGGGTTACCTCGCCTCGGCCCAGAGTGCTGACATCTCCCATCCAGTTTCTCCCAGCTGACACACCATTGATCTCTTCTAGGTCTTCTCCCAGTTTTGGGAGCACAGGTATTTGTAGTTATTTCCTTCTCCCAGTGGCACTACTCACCTAGTGTTCTCTTTCCTATTCTGCCTTATACACTCTGTGCTCTGAGAAAACCAACCCTCCTTTGTTCTCACTGCTCACAGCACTCCCTCTCTGCCTGTTCCTCCCCAAACACTCAAGCGACCACATCGGAGCAATTATCTTTACACTCCACACAACTGACTGAGCTTGTCAGTTGTAGTGGAAATGCTAAGTCACGGCTTGGAACAGTGATTTCCCTGGTGGGAAGGCAGGACCAACCCAGGGCAGCTCAGGTGCATGCAATGCATTGAGTGACTGGAAGGGGTGGAGCCAGGATCCACCTCTTCCCAGACCTCATTTAAGGGTGGGCAGTGGAGGTGAGGGTATTC